ACCCATACGTTTTAATAATAAATCTAACCATTAAATAAAAAAAAAAAAACTGACAAAAAAGGCCAAAAATTTTTAAAAATTGTACACAAAATAGATTCAAATTTCATAATCTAATTTTATGATCATCTGTAGCAATTATTAAAATTTAATTATATAAGTCTAACTTTTTTTTAAGTCAAACAAAAAGCAGACAACTATCAAAAGGGCATTTGAAATGTCTTCTTCAAAACCTCATAATACAATTGAACAAGCTATTCATGACAAAGCCATTACTGAGGTTATTGTTGCACAAAATCTTTCATTATCTTTTACAGAAGGAAAAATGTTTAAACGATTTGCAAAAATTATAGATTTGTGATGGGTTGTACCAAGCAGGGGAAAGATTAAGAGTCTAATTGATGAGGGATTTAATCAAATCAGTTCTAGCCTGCGGTATGATTTATACAAAGCTGAAACAGTATCATTAACCATGGATTTATGAACAGCATATTTACATAAAGGTTACTTAGGTATTACAGCAGCATGGATTAACAAAAATTTTGAGCTAAATAAAGCTGTTTTGGTAGTTACTTTCCTTCAATATCCCCATACAAGCAATGCAATCATGAAATATATTGAGGATATTCTTAAATATTGGAGTATAAAAAGCAAAGTTTTCTCATATACGTCAGATAGTGAGACAAATATGAAGCTGGCATTAATAAACTTGGTGTAAAATGGGTTCCATGTTCTGCCCATATATTGAATCTGATTGTACAAAAGGGGCTCTTGCCTGCAAAGAACCTAATTACTCAGATGAATTGTCTGATTAAATTTTTTATTTTTCCTAAGCAAAGTGAGCGTCTCAAGGCAGTGCAAGCATCAGTTCAAAAGCTACAATTGAGCTAAAGAAAGGCAACTGAGGTAAACTTAAAAGTAAATATAAAAAACCTTCACAAGTGCATGTGCATATATCTTTTTTGATTGTTTTTTAAACCTAATTAATGCAAGTTAGACCATACT